TTGGAGCTTCGGGGTATCTGTCCCGTTTTCCCCTCGCTCTTGGGTTACCATGTTAGCATTGAACCAACTCGCATGCACACTTTTTTTACAGCGGAACCGCTAAGGGCTAGTTTCCCCAGGATCGTGTCCCCCGCAGAGAAATGAAGACAAAGAACTCTGGGCACCTACCGCCATCTATGAGCGCGACGGCGGCGAGCCACGCATCTGGTTGCCGCCGTCGCTCATAGATGGCGGCAGCCTTTCCACTCTGCAGTGGTAGGGTGCCTACATGCAGGGCCGTACCCAGAAAAAAATTTCGGGGGGGGGGGGGGGGGGGGGGGGGGTGTTTCGGGGACAACGGCGGCCATTTTGAAAGTGTCTATTGTCTTATTTTCGCCTATGAATCATGTGCATCGGTGGCATATAATGGAGAGTTACAGCAAACCGGAGAACCGGTCCCGGTTTGGTACCCGGTAGCCGACCGGCGCCACTGCGCGTGCGCAGAGGTGGAGATTAAAATCGGCTGGCTGCCAGTGCACCGACCAGGGCCCTACCCAGAAAAAAATTTCGGGGGGGGGGGGGGGTCAGAACCCCCTAACCCCCCCCCCCCCCCCCACCCCCTGGTTACGGCCCTGCCTACATGTCTGTCTGTCTGATGGTGAAGACATCCATTGTTGCCCTGAATGTGCCAGCACGTGACGCTCTCGCGCACTCGGTGCGTGACTTGGGCGGTAAAATGGCGTCTGTGCATTAGCCAAAGTACTGTAGCCAAAGGTACGCGCTCGAGCTGAGTGACACCAGATTGCGCGCGCATCTAAATCCATAAAAAAGCGATTGGACGAGAAAATGGCTGAGATGTCACCACTCAAGCAAAAGCGCGCGTGTGTATGAAGGCAATCTACACTCTGGCTTGCCGACTTCCGGCCGGCCATTACTTTCCATTGTACAGCTCCGCTGCTTTTCCTTCTTCGCCAGAGTGGAAAGGCTGAAAGTTTCTTTAGGAGCGAAGCTCCTTAGTGTCTAGCCTTGTCCGTCCGGCGTTCGTGCTCACAACGATTGCCATCCCATCTGTCTTCTTAAAAAAAGAAAAAAAAATGTTTGCGCAGTCGACAGGATTCGAACCTGATTTCTAGTCCACCACCTTAACCACTCGGCCACGACTGCGGGACGACTAGGGGGCTCTGAGATTTGGTGGTAACTCAAGAGCTGGGGATGTCATGGATGAAACGTTGCATGTAGCCGCTCAACGTCGATACAGGAGAGGGCGCTGCGGTCAAATGCGTATATAATCGCGTTAAACTTTGCATCAGCACTATAGACCGACACGCGGGCTTGACGTCACGGCGCTGCGGCGGCGCTGCGATCGCGCCGGAGCCGGGGGGTGTGGGCAAAAGGGCGCACGTTTTGCAAGGGCGTCATAGCATTTCAGCATGCCGCGAAGCTGTGTATCCGTTAATCTCGCCGAAATGAACAAGAAAAGTAGCAGAGTGAGCTTCTACAAGTTCCCGGTAGACTCTGAAAGGCATAGAAGGTGGATAATATCCGTGGATCGAAAATTATGCTCGCCTCGCGCGAACGACCGTTTGCGCGGCAAGCATTTTCTTGGAGGCAAGTGCGGTTTTCATTTCAATCTCCGTCCCAAGGCTTGCTTATGTGCAGGGAAACCGTCGTCTGATCGAGACCACCCGGATTTTGTTGCCATGGTGTTCGCACACAAAGCACCGGCCAAGCGCTCGTCGGAAGCTCGCTACGCCCGTGCTCAAGCAGAAGGGGATCGGCGACAGAACGGCAGCGTTGTAGGCGTTACCAAAAAAAAAGTAACGAAATACGTTACTCGTTACTTGCAAATCAAAGGTACGCGTTACTGAGCTACGATGCCTAAAAATAAAAGAAACGCGTTACCGCTACCGATAAAAAGGAACGCACGTTACTTCTGCGTTACTTTTTAAGTTGTTATTTAACACGTTTTACGGTTTTGACGATACAGGTATGCATAAGCTCATATATAAATAAACATTATGTCATGCAGAAACTGACCATAATTACTGTATCCCTTTTTACGGTTTCAGCGAAACACTCACGAAAAAAACGCAAAGAAAAACATGGCTTGACGCCTAAAAACACGGAAAAAATTTAAGTGTAATTGTAGTAACGAGGTAACGTAACTACGTTGCTTGAAATAGTAACGTAAGTACGTTACCCGTTACTGTGTCGAAAGATTAATCAGTAGATTACTACGTTACTGAAAAAAGTAACGCGTTCCTGGTAACGCCGTTACTTGTAACGTGTTACCACCAAGACTGCAGAGCAGACAAAGCGTTGCTGCTTGTCATGCCTTGTGGTCACGAGAGTAGGAAAAATAACAAACCTTGACCTGAAGACACTGTGTGTATTTATTTAATTAATAAATACACTTCCGCAGACCCACAGTTTGCCGATCCCGCCGGCAGTGCGGAAACCGAATCGATGTAATCGTAGGCCTCGAGAGACTTGTACGCCTGCTCCGTGTCGGCCGTGAGCTGGCTGGGTCAAAAAAACTAAATAAACGACGACGTGAGTCGGCGACTTCGGTGGCAGCAAGTTGACGTCGGAAGTCCAGCAGGCCTTGTTTACGGCGTACGGATCCTCGTACGCCGTAAACAACGCAACGCCGTCCACGCACAGTTTGTTTCGATACCGCCGCCGTTCAGGCTCGGGTAGCGAGCTCAAATAGTCGGGCATAGCATACGACATACGTTGCCAGGAAACACGACTCACAAATAAAGCTAGAAGCGTCCCTACAACGTCAACAACGATCGCGCGCCACACAACGCAATGGCGAAAACACGGAGAGCCGGGTCGCTTTTGCCCACATAGCTACCGCGCATGCGCGGCCTTCTGGCCGTGTTGGTAAACAGAGCCGCTCCGCGTGTCGGTCTATAGGGAGTTTTCACTGACGTAATTTTGTCCGCCATTTTGTTGTTTTGAGCTGTATAGCGTGTGCAGAAGGCAAGCATTCCAAGGATTTACATGACCCCTTACATGCGTAGAACACAGAAGATTACAAGTCTTACCATGCTGACATCTCCTCAACAGGTTGCGATGTAATCCTTAATATTAGTAAATTTGTTTGAAAAAAATAAACGAACAACAAAATGGCGAATTGACGTCATATGAAAACAACCTATACTATGAACAAAACCAGTATCATCAGCACCACCAGAGCTTCGCCCAAATCAACATCATTCACCACGTGGAGAGGCGGTCATTTTTTTTTTTTGGTTGATAATTTCTGTCGCATACGGAAAATCTTTGGGCTAAATATAAATTCTATTTTGAACCTCGCTGGTCATCGCCTAACGAGGAATACTTTAGCTTTTTGTTGTTGGAGGCTCCGTCTATACCCGGAGTCATTACATTCCAGAATGTCATATTATACCGAAGAATACTACACTCTAAGAAATTCCTGCGCGTCTACTGACCCGCAAAACACTCAAAGAGCCAATCTCTGCGATCTAGGAAATCAGCTCAGCGAATGATGAGGCGGAGTATCTGTTTAGACCTAAAAATGAAGTCTGCGCTGCGGCATTACGCGATGCAAAGCGTCATGCTTGCATTCCGTAATGGAAGCATGACGCAGGCAGCTCGAGCCCATAGAAATAAATAAATTAGTTGGCTGTAAATTGTAAGTTTAGTACACGGTATTGAGTGATTATACTAGCGTCGCAAGCTGGTTTGTCGACCCCAAAATGTCATTCGATCGAAATTACATTACTTTTATCATGTGGCCGGGCAGGTACGTAGCCAGGATTTTGTTTCGGGGGGGGGGGGGGGGGGGGGGGGGGGGGGGCCGCCCATGACAAAATGCTATATGAGGGAGAGGGGGAGAGGAGGTCTCAGCAAAACGGAAGATTTCGGGGAGGGGGGGGGGGGGCGGGCCCCATGGCCCCCCCCCCCCCCCCCCCTTGGCTACGTGCCTGTGGCCGGGGTATGATGCAAGAATTCAGTGACTGCACGCGATAACATCGCTTGCATGATCGAAGATGACCCTTGTCTTGCCGTGTCCGCGTTGACTACGTTTACCTGATTTTTAACTGTGATCGTTTGCTGTGTCCAATCACTGCGTGTCGCGCCATTTCGTCGAATTATCTCTGTATAAAATATGCATTCCTACAGCCATAATTGTGTGACTCAATGTTTTCGACTTGAAACAATCACATTTTTCTATAGACGTCTTATAAGTTATACGCATACCTCGTGTCATTTCGTACCGATTATTTACTGGTGTGAAGCGAAAAATAGGGACTCTAGCTAAACATTTAATAAACATTTACCCGACGTTTCGGGACCAGTTCGGTCCCTTTTTCACGGGCGAATGACCGTGAGTGGTGTAATAATACCAGTATAATAAAATGTTTTCTACACCCGTTGCTATGTGCAGCTTTCATTTTAGCTAATAAGAAACGCGCATGAGTAAAAGCGCGATACGACGGTCGATCCACGCGCGTTGCTTTCGCTTCGACGCGCGCCCCCGATGGCCTTCCTTTGCGACGTCACGAGAAGAGCGGTACGGCCTTCTCTTCTAGGAGGTCATTACGAACCAGCGCAAGTAAACAGTTATTCAAAATCCAAACACACAAAAAATACACTCACACAGCGCTGTGTGAGCGTATTTTTTGTGTGTTTGGATTTCGAATAACTGTCTACTTGCGCTGGTTCGTAATGATGCCTTACCAGTTCTAGGAGGTGTTGCCATCACCCCCACCCCCCTCCCCACCGGCCCTAACGTAGTGCGTGGTGCTCTACTACAAGCCATTTGCTTTATTGTAGTATTTCGGGAGGAATGAAATTATCAAAGGAAGCTTTCGATCACTCGAAATCTTAAAAAACGCGCCAAAACAAGTTTCTTTCGCCTAGTGCTCACTAGATGGCAAAGAGTGCCGCCCAGTTAACAGAAAGTTACCTAGCCAGATGTATATTTTCTTTTAGTGACGTAATTGCAGCAATGATTTTTAGTATCTCCAGGAGTTCTTTGTGTCTTTCAACGAGATCTCGCGAGACGAGCGTCGCGAGAATCTGTTTCGCTATCCAGCAGGCGGCGCGCGTTCACCAATTTTTGCTCGCTCGGTTCTCGGGCATCGCTTTTCATGGAGTTCTGTCGGAGGATTTCGAGCTTTGCCGTACCGCCAGCCTCGAACGAGGAATAGGAGAAGCCAAGCCGAACATTCGCAGCGTCGACATGGCCACGGTGGAGTACGACCTGAACACGTCTGGGGGACTGATGCCCGTACGTGTCTTCCCGAAGCGGGCAAGTCGCGGCAAATGGCCCCCTCGTCTGACCGACTCTGCTCCGTTCCTCGCAGCAAATCCAGTCCCTGATCGCGCCCCCGGCCAGTGAGCACCCGTGCAAGAAGAAGACGCGACAGCGGCACCGTCCCAGCGGCCGCACCGTGAACCACGACGCGTGCGACAGCTGCAACGAGGGCGGCGACCTGATCTGCTGCGATCGCTGTCCGGCCACTTTCCACCTCCAGTGCCAGTGAGTCGGGCCGCCATTGGGCGCCGCTGCGCCTCGCGCCTTCTCTGTGACCGCAGCGGGCCCACTCGCAGCGACCCGCCGCTCGACGAGGACGACCTGCCGGCCGGGGAGTGGATCTGCCACCGGTGCAGCGTCACGGCGCCCAAGAAGCCGCCGGCGCCGGAGCCCGCGGCGGCGGCGGCGCTCGGCCCGGTATTCGGGCCGCTGCCCGCACCCGACACTCTTCCCCCAGGTCTGAACCCCGACGCGACGGGGTTGCCCGTTCAGGAGGCCCCGGCCGAGCCCACCAGGGAGTCTGACCCGGTTCCCATCCCCTGCGAGCCCAAGCCCGAGGCGGCTGTGGAGCCTACAGCGCCGTCTACTCCGGTATGTCACTCGGGCGTTCCTGTGCGCTCGCTGTAGCTGGATTTCGACCCGGCTTGCTTCGCTTTTCAGCGTTCGTTCTGAACACCCTGTGGGCGATCAGCCTCCGTGGGGGGACAAGCTTCACTGTTTGGAGTAGATTGCAGCTATGCATAGGGCAACAGGGTATTTCCACTTCCTTGGGCTCCCCCAGAAGCATCTTTCTGCTGCCTTGAGATGATGGGCAGTCCATAGGTCGCTTACCAGTGCTTCACGTTACAGCTACAGCTGTATTCATAATTCTGCTATACTCCGTTTCTTTGTATCATGGCAGAAAGGGCTACGGGTGCTAGCACAGGCTCTAATGCCGCATGAGTGGTTATGTAGCCGAGGCAAGTTCTAAATAGCCTTTGTCGTGGTCCACGTTAATGCGAAACAAAGTACAGCGATGCCTGTTTGGCAAAAACATGCTTGATTCCCCGTCATACATTCTAACTCGGCATTTGCACATGGATAGCATATTTTGAAAGCAGAGCTTAGCAGGGTTCCCCGTGGGAAGTGACGACTCACCTTCAAGCACTCTCCAAGTCGCTGGCCTCATATATCTTCTGACGTATCACTTTTTGATTGCATGAGCTTTGGAGTTGCACTTGATGTTCTTTGGAACCGCACTTGTGATTCGAAATAATGGCACTCTGTGCCTTTTCCGGACCCAGATCAGTGCCAGTGCCCCACATAGTATTGCTGAGATGGTCGCAATGTGCTATGTTTGAACTCAGCAAAATAATCTCGCAATATGTTTTTTCTTTGTCTTTTTTCTATTATGGTGCCATTTAGAAAGTATAGAAGGGAAACTGTAACGTTTTACTTTCACATTATGGTCACACTCCAGGCTAGTTCACGCACTTGCCACTACCTACGACCGAGCGCCTTGAAATCTCTTGGGATCTCTTAGGAAGAGAGAATACGATGAACACTTAGGCGTTTCCATACGTTTCCTATCTTTTTTAGTGCACCATTCTCTCTTTCTTGGATCGAAAAATCTTTTGACAATGTTATGAACGACCATTTCTCATAAATAGTCCGTACCACATTTGGTCTCGCAAATTCTGCAAAACCTTTGCCCTAGTGAAATGCAGTTGCAGGGTTGCCTGATAGATGGCACCAGCATGCCAGTGTGTTCTCTCGTTGTAAAAGATCGGAAGAACTCGGTCGTAAGTGGTTGCAAGCGCGAGAACTGGCCGTAACTTTCTCTCTTCTGAAACTGACTGCTATAGATTCCTTTTGTAGGGGTAACTCACGCGAGACTCGCAATGACGGGGCCTGCAGGAAAGTGCGGCGCCCTCCAGCGAGGAGTTGGGGCCCCTGCAGCTGCTCATCCGGGCCGCCTCTCTCATGAACGCCCAGCAGTTCGAGCTCCCGAACGAGCTGTCCTGTCCCGTGCAGTTGCCTGGTGAGTGGAGCTGCTCTCGTTCCGTAGCAGACAAAAAATAAGAAATATTATGCGAATTTGATAAGCAAGCACAAATGGCATCGTTTCGGCAGCCCACACATGGGGGATGGGTGAGACAAGAAAGTATTTACGTCACTACCACTGATAACATTTTCAATTACCAGTACTTCTAAAGTTAGTGCGAAATTTTAGTAACAAACTTTGTTACAATTTTAGAGTGACATGTACCTACTGTAATATAGCGAGTCATCGCCCACCCTCCTTTGTGGGAGAATATCGATTTAAAAAAAAACACTGAGTGATCGCCCACCCCTAGAAATACCCCAAACGCAGAGTCCGCGATCTGCCAACATTCATACCACCCAAATGACGCGACCGCGAACCTTACGGTTCGAGGGCCTCCATGACAAAGTAAAGGGAAGGAGGAAAAGACACTTTACTTTGTTTATGCTTTTCCTCCCTGATTTCCACGACTCCGAAGTCAGAGTGCATGCGTGCAAAAGGAAAACGATGGAGAAAACAGAATAAAACTTTGTTTTGCTTACATAAAAGTAGGGATGCCGCAAACTTTTTTCGAATCGAAGTTTCGATGATCGAATCAAGCGGTTCGAAAGATTCGAAAGATTTCGATTTTTCGAATTGTCTACATCGTAAAATTCGACGGAAGTCGAATTTTCGAACTTGTTAAGCTAAGAAGTTCGACGCTTTTCGAACCGTCGAACTTATTACGCTAAAAAATTCGATCTTTTTCGAACTTTCGAACTTATTGCGCTGCAAAGTTCGATGCATGTCGAACTTCCGAACTTGACTGACCAAAAAATTCGATGAATTTCGAACTTTCGAACTTATTTATCGAGAGAATTCGAAAAGTTTCGAACTTTCGAATCCTGAAAAGTCAGAAGTTCGACGAACTTCGAACTTTTAGAGTAAAAGTTCGAACTTCGAAAGACCGGCGGACGGTTTCATTTGAATTCAAGTAGTGAGGTACATTCGTAATTTTTTTCTTCTCGAACTTTTACACGCGTTCCTTACGAAAGACAATGCCGTTCGTTTCAATGTTCTGGCATGCTTAGTTTTAAAGAAATAAATTCCCGAAGGGGCGAGGAAGGACGACGGGTTTTTGACGATTGTCGTTTGTGCCAGATTTGAAGCGCTGTAGCCGAAGCTATTTATGGTAGAGATGTTCTACTTCTTTAAGAATGATCTATGTATAGCCTAGGTAAGTGCCGTCTTAAGATGTGATTATTGTTATTCAACGTGAGTTTTGAAGAAATGTCCAAACATGTATCTACATGCCATTATGCCCTAAACTTGATATTTATTTTCGTCTAAGTTGTTTGAGGTATCGCATTTAAATTAACACCACGGACAGTACATATCATTGCCATCTGAGAATACAAAATAATGTATTTATTGTTTTTTCACGTAATTAACTCATAGGAGAAGATTTCTAATAGTGTTCAAGTTCAGCACGTCATTAAAAGAAAACATTTTTTTTTTTTTCGCTTCACGTTCCTGGGAAGTATTTCTTTTAGCCCGCACACATTTTGATAAAAGGAACTTGTTTCAAAGTTTTGTACCTCTCAATATGCAAGAATACAACACTTCCGGTGAATTCTTGATAGTTTTTTTTCCAGCTTTTTATCCCCGCACTTATTTTTATTTATCTGTTTTTTTTTTGTTTTTTTGTTTTACTATTGGCACAGGTATTTAGGTTGAAAAGACATAGCTTTGAACTTCCGAACCACTAAGCATGTGACGAGTATTGCCTTCTGACAACGAGTTTCTAACAATGACCATCTACGCAATCTTTTATGCAGTGAAGAGCGACAGCAGCTATACATATGCATAAATAATTTCAGATTAAAATTAGCTTGACCACGCCCTCTTTCCCCGTATTGTTTTCTTTAACAGTCCGAAATATCTAGAAGGGGGGAAGGAAACCGAAGGCCCCCCCCCGCGCTACCCTCTTTCCCTCTTCCCCCGTTTTTCCTCTTCCGACGCCACTTGTATGGTAGAACGCTCCTCGACCTCGAGTTGTGTCGGCTTTTTGCGAGGCGATTGCTCCGTTCCTGAAAATAAACCTCCAGGACAATTACAAACTTAACTTACTATATGCCAGCGTCATTCGGGCGGCGTTCGATCGGATTACTACCAGCGTGCAAGGGGTGGCGAGGTAGTTTGCCAGGTCGCTACAAGGTTTTTCTGAGCCTCAACCAACTGCTTGCCCCTGGCCGTTTCGAACTGGATGAGTCTCGTAAAACAGTCTGTTCGTGTGATCACTACTGCGTGATGCAGGTTAAAGTCCCCCCCCCCCCCTGGGCTGGCGGTCACAATTACTGATCTATGGTCACACGTCACTCTGCACTGCCAAATATTCCAGCACCATCCGGGACACTCGTCGTCTCATTTAATTGCCTGACCAACTTCGCAGAATCTAGATATCACACCCTAACTTTTCTAAACTTGATTTTGTGAAAACCAGTGAGTCGTGAAAACGTTATTTGAAACAAACTGTGGAGGAATTTGAAAACCGGCCTTCGAACTTTGAAAACTTGGACTAGAAAAGAATTTAAAATCTTTGAGTTTTTTTTTTTTTTTTTTTCGACTTTAGCGTTAAAAGAGATTCGAAACCTTCGAACTTTTCGAACTTTATGCAGAAATAAATTCGAAATCTTTGAATTGTTCGAACTTCATGTCTACAAAAATTCGAAGCGTTCGAAGTTTTCGAATTTTATTTCCAAAGAATTTCGAAATCTTCGAATTTATCGAACCTGAAGTAAAAAAATATTCGAAATATTCGAATCCGAAATTTTAGAAATTGTGAAAGCTGCGAACTTTTCGATTTCGAAACTCACTGAGATCGAAAGTTGCGAATTTTTCGAATTCCAACCTGGGTCGGTACGAAAATATCGAAATTTTTCTAAATCGAACCTCAGTTCGCTTCGCAAATATCGAAACCTTTCGAAATCGAACCTGGGGTGGTTCGCGACATCCCTACATAAAAGCTTGTTCAGATAAAACAAAAAGAAAAAAAAGTCGTAAAGATAACAACCAGTGCCCTTTTAAGAATCGTGAGGTCAGCGAACACCCCATATCCTGGAATGTAACTGCGGAGTGTAAAATTAAAGATGCAAGGTCAGAGTCTGTCTCCACCGAAATAAGGTCAGCGTGAATCCGCTCCTTCTCCCGGAACGTCGTGACTGCAGTTGGTAAGGTTGTGCATTTTTGAGACGAAGCCAACGAGTAAATAAAGATTTGCTGGAACGCCACACACAGACCTTTGTAGAGGTTCCATTTCGAGCTCAGTGTCCATGCCATGTAGCAACGCCGTCTCAACCCGTGCTGATAGCAAGCCATGCACCAAACAAGGAAGTTGCACAGGAGCCTGCTCCTTGTGATTGGAAAGGAGCCCAACTTAGTTAGACACTAAACTATTTACCAATGCGTTCACCGGCTTTCCCACTTTCCCAGCAACCCTCTTCGTCGCTTCTTTCGCACCCCCGCTCGCTTGTTGTGCTTAGTTGGTTTTTCTATTTTCTTGTTGACTTTGTGTTTTACTAACGAAGACAACATTGCAGTGTTAAAAACATGCTTTTAGAACAAACGTTCGCGCTGTGTGCCGATCGGCGATGTTCATCGCGTCTATGCAAGCAACAGCCTTTTTGGTAGCAAAACATTCTTTCATGAGCATTTCTTGCATAAAACAATGAAACTAATTTGAGTTTTAAGTTTAATGTTAGAGGTGTGCGAATATCAAAATCTTTCGAAGCGAATCGAATCGAATAATAAAGGTTACGAATCGAATCGAATATTTTCGAATACGAATAGTAGTTTCAAATAAGGAGATATTTGAAAACAAATATTTTCTATTTGATGTGAATTAAACAAGAATGCTTAATAAAAAACACAACTGAAATTTTTTTTTTCAACAAACGTTTATGAAAAGGGTACTTTTATTGCAATAAGGAAAATGTCACACGTGTGACTGTTAAAAAAAAAATGAAAAAAGATCATTCAGTAAAACACCATTCCTTGAGTGAGGTTAGAGAACGTAAATGAAAGTGCAAAAGTGAAGGCGGGTCGGCAAGCCACAACGCTGTCGGAGATCGCATCACGGACGAAAGGAGGCACTTGAGCAAAAAACGCAAGTACACAAGCCGCAAGCCGCAATACAAAGTCGATGATTGCGTCTCTACTTTGTGCGATCTCTTTTTACGCTCGTGAACGCAACCACGTGAACGTAAATGGAAGTACACAAGGGGAGGCGGGTCGACAGGCACCAGCAGAGTTTCAGATTGCACGATCGCGCTGCGCAACCGCACTGACTATGTACCATCTCTTTCCGTGTGCACTAGTTCTGTCCATAGAGGGTGCCACAAAGATGCAATAAATTAAGAATATGTTCTTTTTGGCGGGGGGAGGGGGGGGGGGGGGGGGGGAGTCTCACTTTTACCAGTGAAAACGGGTAGAAATAAATAACAAAAGGAATGCTGGCAAACTGATGAACCGGAAAATCAAGCGGAAAATAACACAAGCCAGATATCACCGATAGCTGAGGTGAGCCATAAATCCATATCCGAAGCCATAGCACCATGGCTACTGTAGTCACTGTAGGTACGAAATCAAGAATATATGGTTGTGCTACATTAAAAATGAATGTAAACAGGAACGTATACAAGACGTCTCGGGTGGACGCCTGAAACGTCGTGCGGTCCGTCGCGACGATGCATGTGCCGTTGCAAATTGCAGTCCTTCATCCTATCTATCGCAGCGTTTGCGCCACGACCACTTAGCCACCTCTGCAATCCGGACATCACGGCAAGCAAAGCACAAATCGCGCTGCCGCGTGCAAATAACTTTCCAATCCTTCCTACAAAAAAAAAAAAAAAAAAAAGACACTTAGGTTGGTTGTGTAGGTTTGCCAAGCTTGAAACCATACTGCGCAGTCCAAAAACAAAACAGAGAACTCGACCGCAAGTTGACACTAATCAATGAGTTCCGCGTTATTCATAGTTTTCGAAGTATTCGAAGAACTCGAATAGTTCGAACAGCGAAAGGGCGAAGCGAATCGAATTGAATAGCAAGCATTATTCGCGAAGTATTCGAAGTTTCGAATATTCACACACCCCTATTTAATGTATTCCTTGTTCAGCTGCGCTAGATATGTTCTAAACTATTTGTGCTTACCCACCGAGACATGGCCCATCCCACTTTTTTTATGAATTTCGGGCAGCAGGGGGTTGGGCGATGACTCGGGATTATGGTAATTAGTTCAGTCACTTCCTTTTCAAAATTATTTCGACAAGTACATAAAAAAATTTAGTTGGCTTTCGTTTCAACATTAAACTCTACCAATAGCAGAGTGCCGAGTCAGAACAGAGTGGCGCTGTTATCTTTTTCATGTTGGAAACCATTCTGTTATTCGGCAGTCGTGGTACACTTTGACGTCGTGAGGTTTTGAACTGCAACGTGACTGAATTAGTTCCTGCGGTCTTACTTAAACCGTACCTATAGCCTGTTAGAACCATAGTCTGCAGTAGAAGTTTTGCTTCCAGTGCGAGCTTTCTACCTTTGATAAAATTTCAACGTGCACGCAACCAAAGCATTGAGAGAGTTAACGAACAGGCGCTAAAAGTGAAACTTCTCTTGCAGATCTTACGTTTCCACAGACTATATCTATTTGAAAAGGGTGGTGTAACTGCTTCAAAGGGTTTCTATCGGTAACTCCAATTGAGAGGCTCCGCCGAAATTGCCTTGCTACGTCGAGCTGCACGGAGTGCCGTGGATGTTCACATTCTGCGCTGTCTTGTCTCGCAGGCTGGAGCAAGCGCAGCCGTCCCACGGGGGGTCGTGGCTGCAAGCGACCTGCCTACGAATTGGACGGGGGTCTCGTGCCGCTCCCGGCCAGGGTCTGCTTCACCTGCAGGAGGTGGGTCAACCGCCTCTTTTGGGCGGGGTCGGACGACATGCCACGCGTGTGGCACTCGTCCGTGTGGTTATTCATTTTCCTGTGCGGAGAGGCCACGACACAAACATTTCTGAAATCTTTGCATTAACACCGAATCGCGCATCTTTTAAAGGCTGAAATAGTTTTTTTGCAATTTGTGCGATGGTCCCCTCATGATTGGGCGGTCTTTCTCTTTTCATCAACAAGCAAACACAGCAAATAGAAATTTATATGCATATTCTTCTGGGCGTTCAACAGAGACATAACATTTACATTTACGACATAACATTCGTGAATGTTATGTCGTAAAAAGTATCGCTCGAGAACGTATCGATGTCGTCCTGCTGTAATGGGTACGAGCTTATATTTAAAATTGCGCTATGTAGTGAATAAGAATGAACTGAGAATGCTTGTTCAATAAATCTAAATTTCATATGAGTGGCATTAATCTTGTTATGGTTTCAGTTTACATCTCGACAGCGATTCCGAAAGATGCTTCCGTTTTGGGGTCGACGTCTGGAAATGGAGGCGTTTTGGAATTACTCTTAACTCAAAATGTGTTCTGCGACGCGAATGCTGTGCTAAAAGAATTTCTTGTTTGGCAAAAGTTCATTTTATGTCGTGTATTCTATCGAGGCACTTGGAAAAAAATGGCACCAGTTAGCACTAGTCTGTGGTGTGTGTTTGTTTCCTGTTGCCCTCATTTCTTGTGCGCTTTAATTTTCACCACGAATCACTGCCAACTGGCCCAACTTTCTACCCTTCGGCACCAGTTAGACAGAGCCTGCACCATTCCTCGGATGTAGCAGTGCTGTCAGCGCTCCATTGCCCGTGTCCGTCCTAAAACAGGAGCTGCAGGTGGGCCCCCCTGATCCAGTGCGACTACTGTCCGCTGCTGTTCCACGCGGACTGCCTGGAACAGCCACTGGCCACCCTGCCCACCACACGGTGGATGTGCCCAAACCACGCCGAAAACCTGCTGGTGAGTCACCCAGGGATGTACAGAAGGACGTCATAAACTAACCGATTGGAGATGCTAAAGTCCTCTTCAAGTTAGTTTCATTCACTCAATAGTTGCGAGTAACAATATAATTTCGGTGATTGGAACTATGACTCAGTTACTTCTTTGGAACTTATAGCTGTGTTTGATTATTTCAATTCTTTCAAAGTTAGGTTGATAAGCATGTGCGTTTGCATCGATTTAGTTTCAGTATCAGTACATGCTTTTGCTTCCTCAAATCTCTATTGTGAGTATAATGCCCAAGTGAAATGGAATGGTGCAAACATCTTTTGTGTGTTTGGAACCAATGTGGTAATCTGGACTGCAATTTACGATATGGCTGAGACCGACGTGCCTGACACTCTCTCGGTAGACCAGATTTCTTAGTGACCAAGTGGAATCTCTCGGGGGCGCCTGTTCACCATTCTTTGTTTTAATGCAACTCAAAAATACATCAGATGACTCCCAATATTCAGACACCGAACACATTCTCGCATGTTCAGATAATCAGGACGGTACCTACAGAAAAGTTTGACTCCAGATCATTCTTTCACCGCTGATGCCAAGAATTAACTTTATGGTTTCATAGAGCATTACGAAATATGTTCAGTCGTGGAACTTCCCATAAATGCTTACAACAAATGTGTCTAGTTTTTTTTTAAGTGGTGGCACTGTTTGCATGTTACGACGCATAAGCAGGCAAGCATCTAGATGTGTTGGTACTTAGAGCAACATGGCAAAACCGTAGTAATAAAAAATAACGGGACAGTTCACATTCCTCACAAGTAACAGCCTACGCTCTAAAAAAACCTGTGCGTCTACTTTCCCGCACGATATTCAAGGAGCCAATCACTGTAACTTACGGAGGCAGCTCAGTAAATGATGATGCCGAAACGCATGTTTAGACCAAAAAACACAGTCTGAATTGTGACATTAAGGAATGCAAAACGTCACGCTTGCATTGCCTAATGTTACAACTCAGACTGCGGTTTTTGGTCTTTACATTGTTTCGGCATCGTCATTCGCTGAACTGCCTTCATAAGTTGTGGTGATTGGCTCTCGGGAGTGTTGTGTGGGAAAGTAGAGTCAGGGGATTTTTTTAGAGTGTAAAAGCTTTTTGAAAGCCATTCGTGGACCATCGAAAGCATGATAGAGGGCTAGTTCAAGATGAATGAATGAATTTGGGGGTTTATGGCGCAGCAGCAACATGGGCCATGATGTCATAATGCGGAGTATGCCCTTTTCTGAAGCTTAGTTGGACATCCAAGTTACTCCGACGGCTTCTCGTCTGCTGCTCGTGACGTGACCCCGATGGGATGCAGGAGGAGAAGCTGCTGAGCTCAGTGAGCCTCACGGAGCGAGTGAAGCTCTGGGACCGCTTCTCTGGGACGCTCTCTCAGGAGGCCGTGAAGCTAGAGTTCCTGCGCAAGGCTCGCCGTACTGCACCTCCGTTCCGCTGCAAGCGGGCCTGCCCCAAGGCGCTCCGGGCCAAGGTAGGTACACCCAGTGCCGCTGTGTGCACGCCGCTGTAATGACACCCGGAGTTCCAGCAGTAGTAAGCTTTAGAAAAAACACTGTAGCAACCAGACACTGGTGGCTGTCTTCCAAACCTTGCTTGAGTAGATCCGAGTGACGCCCGCTGGTCATATCGCGTGATAGTGCATCTAGAGCGGTGCTGGTGGCCGCTAAATTATCAGGTGCCAATGTACAAATCCTTTACTCTGGAGTATGATAGACTGAAAACATTATTGCAACAGGACGACCATTGGTTCGATTGCTCCATTCATTTGAGCATGTTGGTTTGAGTTTGGGACGTGTTCTGGCCGTGGGAATATGGGCACGGGCTATTGAGCTTGGGCAATGGAGCAGCTTTCTGCGTTGGGAAGGGCTCTCTCTGAGTGCAGTCGATTGTTGTGGCAACTAAGCTGGTTCTGAGCATTTGTGTGGTCACATGCATGATCGTCTTCGACCAATCTTGCCAAGGTAAGGCTGGAAATCTTGTGCCGCAGCTGTGGTGGCTTTGAAAAAAATGTGTGATTCAGAAAAACGTGGTGGCTGATAGTGCTCTTGGTAACTCTCCCACAATAACTTTAGTCATATGGACTTTCACAGCTGTGGAAAACTGCAGTACTTCAAATGTACTGTGTGATTCAAGGAGCGGCCAGGCTCTTTAAATCGACCGCAAAATTCGGTTTCTTAACCTATCGTTTTCCGATTTTGTACAGCGTTAGCCACAGGTGGTGCATTTTTTCTATACACCGACACGCGGGCTTGACGTCACGGAGCTGCGGCGGCGCTGCGATCGCGCCGGAGCCGGGGGGTGTGGGCAAAAGCGCGCACGTTTCGCATGGGCGTCATAGCATTTCAGCATTGCGCGAAGCTGTGTTGCCGTTAATTTCACCGAAATGTACAAGAAAAGCAGCGGAGTGAGTTTCCACAAGTTCCCGGCAGACTCTGAAAGGCATAGGAGGTAGATAATATCCGTGGATCAAAAAGAATGGTCGCCTCGCGCGAACGGCCGTTTGTGCGGCAAACACTTTCTTGGAGGCAAGTGCGGCTTCCACTTCAATCTCCGTCCCGAGGCTTGCTTATGTGCAGGGAAACCGTTGTCTGATCGAGACCACCCAGATTTTGTTCCCACGGTGTTCGCGCACAACGCACCGGCCAAGCGCTCGTCGGAAGCTCGCTACGCCCGTGCTACCGAGCAGAAAGGGATCGGCGACAGAACGGCAGTGCTGTAGGCGTTACCAAAAAAAAAAAAAAAGTAACGAAATACGTTACTCGTTACTTGCAAATAAAAGGTACGCGTTACTGAGCTCCGTTATCTAAAAATAAAAGGAACGCGTTACCGCTACCGATAAAAAGTAAGGCACGTTACTTCTGCGTTTTGACGATACACGTCATATATCAAGCAGAAACTGAACATAATTATTTAATCTCTTTTTACGGTTTCACCTAAATACTTACAAAAAAAAAACGCAAAGAAAAACATGGCTTGACGCCTAAAACACGGAAACAATTGAAGTGTAATTTCTTTAAGACTTGGGAAGTAGTAATGACTAAAGTAACAGCGTTACTTGAAATAGTAACATAAGTACGTTACCCGTTAATGTGTCAAAAACGTAACGAGTAGGTTACTACGTTACTAAAAAAAGTAACGCATTTCTGGTAACGCCGTTACTTGTAACTTAATTGTTACCGCCAAGACTGCAGAACGGACAGACCTTTATTGGTTGTAATGCCTTGTGGTCATGAGGGTATGAAAAATATCATACCTTGACTTGAAGACGCTCTGTGTATTTAATAAATTAATGAATACACACACTTCCGCAGACCCACAGTCTGCTAATCCCGCCGGCAGTGCGGAAACCGACTCGAAGTAATCGTAGGCCTCGAGAGACTTGTACGCCTGCACCGTGTCGGCCGTGAACTGGCTTGGCGAAGAAACTAAATAAGCGAAGACATGAGCCGCCGACTTCCGTGGCAGCAAATTTACGTCGGAAGTCCAGCAGCTAGGCCTTGTTTACGGCGTACGGATCCTCGTAGGCAAAGCCGTCCAAGCACAGTTTGTTTCGATACCGCTACCGTTCAGGCTCGGGCAACGAGCTCAAATAGTCGGGCATAGCATACGACATACGTTATGAGGAAACACGACACACAAATAAAGATACAAGCGTCCCTACAACGTCAACAACGAGCGCACGCCATAGAGCTCACTGGCGAAAACACGGAGAGCCGAGCTGCTTTTGCCCACATAGCTACCGCGCATGCGCGGCCTTCCGGCCGTGTTGGTAAACAGAGCCGCTCCGCGTGTCGGTCTATAAAATTTGCAAAGAGAGCTTACCTGAGGAAAAAGTAAAAAAAGAAAAAGGCCTAACTCCTATGGAAACGCAGCGAAGCCACCAGTCTTCAAAACATAGGGCACCCTATGGTTTTAAGACTGGTGGCTTTGCCACGTCTCCATAGGAGTTAAGCCTTTTTCTTTTTTTACTTTTTCTTCAGGTAAGCTCACTCTTTGCAAATTTTATAGAAAAAATGCACCACCTTTGGCCAATGCTGTACAAAATCGGAAAACGATGGGTTAAGAAACCGAATTTTGCGGTTGATTTAAAGAGCCTGGCCGCTCCTTGAGTCACACAGTAGGTTGACATTTTTTCTTGGTACCAGTCTTTAAAATTGGAGGTCGACCTATGATCATAATTAATGTTGAACTGTAAATCTTCCTAATCTTTACAAATTCACAACCCAGCATGCACATATTCGTGGTTTCTGAAAGCAAGCATGGCACACACTATACACAAAAGACTGAGGATGGCGCCTGCCAGAAGCCACTTATTGGAATGGTCTGCAAGAGTGAGCATTTCTTACATGCCCATCAAGCTAACCCATACGCTTTCCTGCTCAAGCCACTGCTCCTAGTACGGTGGTGCAAAGCAGTGAAGCTTCACTCGAGCAGGGAGGTGCATGTTAGACGTCATAATGCAGTGTCACCAAAAGTAGGAAACCAACTCTCTTTTGTTAAAGCAGCTACTATCCGTTTATTTTCCAAGCGTCTCCTCACAAGTCTTCACCTCGTTGCTTGCAATGTTGCAGTTGACGAGTCACCTTTAGCTAGGGTGAAGAGAAAAGCTGCAAGGTAAATCTTTTGTACAAACTGCTCCTCAACAGATGCCTCGCGACGGCAGTTGTTGTTTTGCCAATAGACTTTATTCTTCAGACCCAAAGACGCTAGGTCTCTTAGTGAAATGTAGGCTGCCATTCCAAGGCTTTTAGGGTCATGATGGTAAACACTGAGACTGGGGTTAAAAGAAGTAAAAACATTAAAGAGAGACTTCATGTTTTTACTATTTTTCATCCTAGTTGCAGGGTTTCCCTCATGCTTAATATACACCAGCACCTGCACTTCGAGAATTTTGGTGCTTTTGGGAGTCCTTTTCCCAGCCTCCTTTGAATTAGTGCAGCCCGGGCACGGAAGCTCGCTGCAATGCGAGCGTAGGCTCGGCGTATATCGCATTCGACCGTCGGCTTCCCCCGTCTCCGGCCGCTGCTTTCCGTCCATTGACGCCTGCTCGTGTCTTGTGCAGGTGCCGGCGGCGGTGCGTGAGCTGTACCGGCACCCTCCGCCCTTGCCCCCGGCTGTGGGAGCCAATCCCATGACCTTCGAGCCCTGCGCCCCTCGGAACTGCTCCGCCCCTCCAACCCCGCAGGAGCAGGAAGAGGTGAGGGAGCGGTCCTTTTGCCAAACTCCTCCCAAGCTGCCTCGTATAAGGTCCTTTGGGAGTGGAATGTCAGTTAAAGCACATGACTATTCCAGAGTGCCTAGAACATGTTAGCGTGAAACATTCCTTGGTTAGGTGTTCGGCATTTCGTGAAGCCTGGATAAAGGCGTGGCCGCGAGACTCGACGCTGATTGGTTGACAGGTGCGAGAGAAGCGATGTGCTTGATGCCGATTAGTTAACAAAGAGGTCATGTGACCACGGGTGGAATGAGGAAGAGAGGTAGACGAGATGGGAGAGGAGGAGTGGGTTAGAAGGTTCTGGAAGATCACCAGGTTTATCATATCAAGTGTACACATGCCACGCGTTAAATCTGTATCTGATGAAGAGTGCTGTGAACATAGGTGTCTGGCTGAGCACGCTACGCGTGCTGCTAAACAATCATATAAATGTTTGTGATGCTAGACAGTTTCATGTATGCAACAGAATTGTCTATCAATTTGCCATACATTTTTTCCGACTGGTGCGTTTGCCACATCTTATTATTTCGTTTCCTCGATTTCCGGCCATTGACGACACGACCATGTCATGCCTTGGATCGTCGCGTTTCTGGTGGTGTAGCGGCAGCGGAGGTGAATTTGGCAACCGCCCATTCTGCTTCAGGATGCTCTAGTAACAACAGGTTGGGAACACCACGACACCAGAGGCAGCTGCGTCTGTTGGTGTTCTTCGTCAGCATTCCGCCGATGTTGAAACTTTTGTACCGTTGCTTGGTGGTCCCTGCGACGTATTTCGCTGCCACTTCCGGGGCGCTTCAGTGAATGGGTCGTGCATAGTAGTCTCGATACGCGAGTCGGACACGCGTTCCAGGAGCTCCAAGTTCAACACTCGGCGAGATCTCTGACCGCCGTGATTGGCCAGTGCCGCATTTGACCTTGGTGCTGGCCAATTGCGGCAGTGGAGGTCTTGCCAACCTTCTCGCCGAATGTCCAACTTGGAGCCCCAGGTTGCATGCTACAACTGCACGGAGGCTTCTCAACTTCGGCAGGGTGCGCAGTGTCAGTGTTGCAAAGAAAAACGGCCGAATTTTGCTTGCAAAGGATGGAAGCGAAGCAGAAGTGCCCAGTGGTGCTGTCTGATGTCGCAGTGGCTGGCAAGCGTCGTGGCGCTGCAGGCGAGCATTGCCCGGCACCTGGCCCACCGGCAGCGGTTACATCAGGGCCACGCACTCAACGGCGACGCCACCCTCGTGAGTGCTTCTTGCAGGGACAGAAGGTGGGCCGAAGCCCACACTAACTCTCCTTGCAACTGTGCACACTTTTTTTTTGTGTGTTGTGTACTTGATTGCATATAGTTTAGCGTGTCTGCTAGTCAATTTTCTGCGTTTCCTCCATTTGTTTTTTCTGCAACCTGAAAAGTGCACAAGCTTGTTTTCATTTTCATTTGGGTGTTCTTTCTTGGCCTCAAACTTTATAATAAATTGAAGTTTTGAAGCAAAAAAAAAATTTATCATTTGATTTTTTTTTTTAGGAAGTATGAAAATTAGATTTTGTTGCCATTATACCTCAAAAAATCTTTCTGCAGATATGTAATAATCAGGTTGTGTCCTTCTATCTTAGAAATGTTGCAAACCGTTAAATATGTAGCCAGTAATGCAGCTATTGAACTTTGCAAACAATGTCTCGACTTGGGCATTAAAATTTTTAAAGCACGGTAAAAGAATGTGTAAACAGGGTGGCAACAGCAAAGCTCTGACAGACAGATCACCTTTATTGGACTTGACGACAGAAGGAAATACCCGTTTGTTTACGATGGACCACTTGAAAGTTGAGCACATATTCTGCATAACGAGGGGTGGGACCGATGCGACTGGATTGTGCCGTTGCGGTTGCCATGCAACCTACGCCCTAGAACATTGGCTCAGTGTCACGTAACGGCAGTCGCCGCGACGGCGCGTCCTCCCGTGTGCAGGGGAAGGAGGACGCCTGGCCCGTCAAGGGGGACCCCGCTCTCCCAGGGGGCTGTCCTCCAAAGGGACCCCCGCACGGAGGCACCCCGAGGCCTCACCGGACGAGTCCCCACTCGGGTGAGCGAACATGCTGTCAATACGTGGCCGCATTCTCGGGGGGGGGGGGGGGGGGGGGGTTGGCACGTCGGTGTTGGCATTGACGCGCTCGCTTCTCATAGAGTTCTAGCGGAGATTGGAAACTGTGAAACAGGTTTTTACACATTAACCAGCTCGTTTTTTCACTTCGGCAACTCATTCGCAGAGTGAAAATTCATCATTCATGCACAGTCACATTCACTAAAATGCGTCTTCAACTACCGCGTGTGCTGTGTCTTTAGTTTTGGTCTCAAGTTTTTTTCGACGCGACGTCACGTCTGCCACATTTAGTTACCGGTCACGCATCCCGGTGTTGGCGGAGCAGTGGAGATGGTGCAGCAGGTGCCTCTATCGCCATGGGTCGTTCGTAGCCAGCCAGATGACAAGAACTATGGTGGCTGCAGGTCGAGATGCCACGACGGCGGCAACCCTGGAGTCTGCTCGCCTTCGTCGGCACTTCTGCGATGTAATTTATTACCATTGGGGATCACTTTAGATACATAGAGTGGTAAACGTCGGTCCAAGACGTATTCCAGGTATCATAGTTGGGCTCGCCCGAGGTCGAGGAGCAGCAAGGGGTCGTTGTCCGCTGAAGTGGCAATGCGGGGGAAAGAAAGGGAATGCCGCAGCCAACAGCTACTTGGGGACCCGACACATTGCCCAGAGGATGCACGCGGGAGAGAAGGGTCCCCTGGTTTTTAGTTTTTTTTACGTCCTTCGGTTCTGTTGAGGAAAAGAAGAGGTGGCGACATTCCCATCTCGCAATTTACCTTTAAGCCCGATCCCGTCAGTGCTTCCGGAGTACCGTGTAAGGCTAAGGGCTTGTTCACCTGGTGCCGATGCAGTGCCGAGTTGGCGACGACCTTGCGTTTTCCTGGCACTGCGTTGCACGTGTGAACCAGCCTTGATGCATGCTATCTGTTTTGTTCTTCATCCACCCACAGGCAAGGGTTCTCCCAAGAACGGCCCATTGTCCCCCGCCATGGCGGGCTTGAGCGGCAGCCTGCAGGCCTACGTGGACGGTGTCGGAGGTGAGCTGTCCTGGGGAGGGAGAAGGGCTCGTTCGATGCCGCTCCCCTGTCGTTGCAGAAGGGGATCTGGGCAAGTTGGACGAGCGGTTGGTGCGCATCCTGGCCTGGCAGCGCCTGCAGCAGCTGCTGCCGCCGCCACGCAGACCCAACGGGCTCGTCAGGAACTCGGGTACATTGCCTGCTGTCTGTCCATTGCTTTTCCCCAGTCGCCCGATCCGTTCCTTTTCACGAGCTCCCGGGAAGGCAAATGTGAGCTTTTTCAACTCGCAGTCGATTAGATTGTGCCGCATTGGGGGCATGGTTCGAAGCGAAGTATTGCAGTTTGTGGCCTCGCAGTAGACACTCTCTAAGCTCGATCGTTTCCTTTATATGAAAAACGTAAACGTAAAGAAATTTATAAGCAGCGAAGGAGGCTTTATTGGACAAACGTTTCGGGGAAGCGACTTCCCATCATGTCCTGAAGCATAGCAGACTTAAAGTAGTGAATTTACTTCACAAAAGAAAATAGAAGCCCAAAATATTTTCTTTTTTTATTCCGAAGGAGTTACCTAAGGTGTTTTCACATAATATCCATACGACTACTCGTGTGTTTATTTTTATGGGAGGGATTTCTTGCCACATCACGGTTTACTATGAAAAAGCCCTAGCACGCAAGCATTTGCCATTGTGAGGATGTGAGTTTGGGGGTGTTTCTATGCTTCTACGCATTTTGAGGGTGTTTCCATATGTGGGGCATGCTGCCGCGATGCTGTGGCAGACAATTGTTGTCCTGGTGTGGTGCAGGACCGGTGACGGAAGTGCGTGCTCGAGCAGTGGTGTGCCCGGTGGGCGGGAGGGGCAGCCCCGTGCCCATGTCCTTCCGCACCCTCACCATGGGATCGGGTGAGTTCAGAAGCCGCTGTGCGAAACTGGGACGGAGTGCTATCAGGACCATACGGGCCGCACAAATCGGAAGCAAATTCGGCTGAAGCCGTCGGGAAGAGCCCAAAAAGGATATCCTGGAAGCCTCAAGCACCCCAGGTCAAGATCAGTTCAATTGGAGCTGGATTATGGAAGTGGTTCCAGCTGGAACTAATTGGGACCAGTTCCACGATGCTTGGCCGATTTTCACTTCGTACGACAGCAGATCTTGCGTTAGGAGTCATATCGACACTCAGCAACAATTAAGAATTGAGCACTGTAGTACGAATCTCGAAGGGATTTGTACTGCCAATGACCAGCCAATCGCTTCTTCTTGTTTTCGTGACGCTCCGACTTTAAAAGCGAACTTCTTCCGAAATGTCATTGTTCACCTAGCAATAAAGTTGTTTGCAGTGCCAACTTTTTGCACAGCGATTTTAGCTTTTTGTGCTTTGCTGGGTCGTGAAGTTATCTGCATTTGTTTACGGTAGTTTCTGTGCAGCGACGTGAGAATCCACAAGGTGGTAATATCATCCAAGTGTTCGATGTAAGCAGTTGCTCTAACGTTCCTTAATTAGAAACATAATATTTTCTGCAGCATGCATTTCTCTTTCTTTTCTGGGTTGTTGTGTCTAGCTCATTAGACTTGGTCAGTGCCACCCCATAAAACCGTGTTGAAAATATCTTCTGTTCTTGTGTTAAAGCATTTATTGGCGCACTCACGAAACCAGTATCTGCAATTCAGTTATGTAAACTGTTTGTTCCTGTCCTGGAAGGTTTACTCATATTCTTCATTTACCATGGAAGGCAGATTTCTGATGTGCTCTCCTCACATTCTGAGAGCTTGCATGGTCGCAGAATTGTAGAAAGGACATAGAAATTTGGATTCTTATACAGTCTAAGCTCATTATAACAGACCTGGTTACAACAGACATTTGGATATAATATACCGATTTGTGAAGTTCGGTTGGTTTTCCTCTATGCGCCATTGACTCAACTTCATATCTGCATAGAACATACTCCTTCTACAACAGACCGAAATCTTGGTCAAAATCAAGGTCTGTTATAACGAGCTTAGACTGTAGTCCATCTTCTGAAATATGCCAAGATGTTGGGAAGCTGTAAAAAACACTGGGAAACTTTGGCCCATTACGAAACCATTGACAAAATTAGAGCCAATCTTGTAAACTGTTGCACCGGCAGTTTAGAGCCCTCGGCTAATTAAGGCCAGCCTTTGGATTGACTGCCAGTTCCAACTATGCAGGGGCCGACATGGACGTGTGCCTGAGCCACTTTGGTCACTGCAACTTCGTTTCCTCAAAGCATGCCTGCATTTTCTACGACGAGGTGAGGAATGCTCAAGGGCGACGTTGATTCCAAATGCAGAGACCGATAGAGGTCATCACTACTTTTGAAGCCTTTCAGGTAGGGGTGTGCGAATACCGAATAGTAGTTCTCGAATCGAATACCGAATCGAATCAAGAAAAAAAACCCGAATATCGAATCGAATATCGAATAGTGATTTTATTTGTAGGAATTTTTCAAAGTGTGCTGCGAATGAGACTATATATGTGCAGAGTATGCGCCTGGTGGAGAATATGCATCTTGTACAGAACAATAGCAAAAATGTAAAAAAGTTCTGGTGAAAAAAAAAAAAAAAAAAGCAGTTGCTGTTGGACGTTGGGCACTAAAGATCCAATTTTATGTCGCAAACATAATCTATCTACCCTTAACGTCACACACAGAAAAGAAAAACAAGAAAAGTTACAGCCACGCGTGCCTTTTTTTTTTCTCTCGTTAAAAGCACAATTTAACACCGCGACTTTTTTTTTTTTTATATATTTGTGTATCTCAGAAAAGGGGCATTTTGCGATATTTGGTCTCCATTTTAAGGAAGAAAAAGGACACCGGCGATTTTATTTCCCATAAATAAACATATAGGTGTTAAATCTGAGTAAACAGGCTTAAACAATATAATCTGAGTAATCTGAAGCAAGAAAACAAAACGTTGTTAGGTGGCGCAAGTCACCGTCCGACTGCCTCTATGCATCCATTTTTCCGTCGTCTCTCTCCCGTTTTAGAGAGCCTTGATTTAAAAGAGGAAGCAAGCGAAACTGACATTACGGAGACGGCTCCAGCGCAGATTGGTCGTAAGTGTGCATGTGTTGTGTTGTCGCGTGGAAAGAAGGCGAGCAAACAAAAGAGCGACGACGCCTGCCCTGCCTGCCCGATCCCGATCGACGCTTTCGTCTTTTCGTCACCTTCTCGCAGTTCAAAATTCAAGCGCGGCTATTGAACGGTTGGAAACCCTCTCAAATCTAGGCACACTATTTTTCCGTTCCGTTTCGTTCCGAATCAGAATTTGCGGCTTTCGGCGCTTGCGGTTCCAAAAGAACGACGACGATAACTCGGCTGGTTTCATCGGCGTGGTTAACGTAGTTTTCTTTGTGTGATCGTGCAGTCGCCGATTTCTGTGAATGCGGCAAGTGTGTTCTACATCGGCGCTTCAATTTGAAACGAGGGGCTTTACTCGTCAAAAGAATTAGGCATGGCGCGGAATTCCGGCTTCTCTGTTTCGGTTGCGATTCAATGGAAGATCGTGTCACGATCGTGAGTAAATCTGCGTGCTATGAAGTTCGTGGCGTCCGTTACTTTTCTTTTTTCTAACCTGTGCGTTAGATTTTTGTGGAATGGTAGGACCAAGAGGTGTTTCTCGCATAGTCTGTCTAATATCACGGCGCTTACATCGGGAGAAAAAACGGCTTTTTTGTCAGCTCCGCGCCGACCGCGCGTCTTTGGGCGAATATATCGAATATTCGAGTGACCGAATACTAGGAATTCGATTCGCGAATCGAATTATTCGGGATCTTTCTATTCGATTCGAATTCGTATATTCGAGTATTCGCACATCCCTACTTTCAGGTCATTAATTCGCTAACAAACAACAATCTCTTGCATGTTCTAAAAGGACTGAAAAGTGCTAAAAAACACTGAACCTAAGAAGGAAGGTAGAAAAATTTTTCCCTACCTGGTTAGGACAAGCATGCTTCAAAATAAAAATTCCTTAAAAAAATTTTTTTTTTTTTTGCGCAATAGTTATGTTACAATAATAATTTTTCGATTTGTGGGCAAAACCGAAATTGTACCCGTGGGATGATGATGATGGCATTTGTACCAGACTAGAAAACGCTCAGAATTCGCTGGATCTTGGAGCACACACTAGTTTGGTACAAATGCTATCGACATCATCCCACAGAGGTAGCTGCCTCGGTGGCTCCGAGGCGAGAGCGCTGGCCTACGGATCCCCATGTGGCGGGTTCGAATCCCGGCCGAGGTGCCCGCAATCTGACGGAGGCTTATTGCGGAGAAGGCGCCGTATAACCGAGCTTTCAGTTGCACGTCAAAAGATCCCCAGGTGGTCGAAATTAATCCTCAGTCCTCCGCTGGGGCGTGCCAGATGCCTGTCGTTGGTTTGGCACGTAAAACCCCCAAATTTGACTTGATTTGATCCCACAGAGGTACAATTTCGGTTTCGCCCGCAAATCGAAAAATTGATATTGTAACGAAAACATAAAGCAAAAACATTTTTCTTTTTTGACAATCATTTATTTTTAATAATTTTGTCCTAACCAGGTAGAAAATTTTTTTTAGTCATTCAACTTGCAGACTGCTTCGTAGCAGGCTCGTGCCAGGGACCTGTCAGGAGCATGTCGCAAACCCATCAAGAATGCATCAGCAAATAGTGACAGGCATCTGGATCTGTACTTCGTTTCACGCTGGTGCAAGCAAGAAATGCCGCATGCAAAGTGCATGGAGCATTCCAGGTTTGGGATGTTGATTGTGGCGCAGATGAGCAAGCACTACGAGCTGCTCAACTACAGCGAGCACGGTACCACGGTGGACAACGTGCTCTACTCGTGCGACTTCTCGGACAAGCGTAGTCCACTGCCTCCGGCGTCTGCGGCCGTGGCCGCCCTCAGGGGATGCCTAAAGGGAGCCAGGGGGGACCACCGCATGAGTGCCACACCACAGCCCCAGGTGAGAAGAGTTCTCTGGATTCGGAGGAATCGCCATGTTCACTCATTGCGGATCGTGGTGCGCAATAGCCACAAAATCTTCTTTTACATCTTGGCCGTAGTTGATAAACTAGTGGTGTGCAAATAGCAGTTTCAAACAAATAGCACAGTGTCAAGTCTAGCTTCAACACTGTTAAGGCGACTGTTTCTCGTGACTTTCCCTTGTGCTGTGAATGACGCAGCTCTATTATATTCCAACCACTATTCAGATATGTCCAATATATATCCTCCAAGTACCAGTTTCCCAGCTGCGAGATGTCATTTTGGCCGAGACAATGCATTCTTTCCACCCTGTTCAGAGACACTGAAAAAAGAGAAAAGCGTTACCCACTGTCATTGTTCTTTGCTATCTTTCTGAAGTAAAGAACAAAAAAACGCTTTTGCCTGCATGTCGTAGTTCTTATTTAAAAAATGGACAAAGATTGAGGTTTTCATCACCTCTCAACTCCTTCGCCATCTTCCGAGTCATGTGCTCTGTGACGTCAATGCCAGTCGCGTGGGGTTCTGGTGAAGCTCTCTCTCTACAGCCATCAGTGAACAGCGAAAACTTATCCGCTCACGACCGCGTGACCACATGCTGGTGGAGCGCAAACAATATGGTGAAAGGAGGAAATTCTGATCCGGGTCCGTCCATCCCCATCCGGCTCTGCCCCAGTCCCTTTCCGGCTTCTGGCGGATGTTCACGGTAGCAGATAGAGCGGACGGTTTTGTAGACCTAGGATAGATGGCACCACTAAAACTCTGTATAATGAAAACGTTCAGCCTTTCCACTCTTATGAAGAAGGAAAACCAGCGGAGCTGTACTCTATACACTGCCGCAACGCGCACGCGCCCGTTTCCCGCTTCTCGTTTGACGCGCTGCCGATCGTGGATACGTCTCCAGCGACCCAGAGTCGGTCGCACACGGCGCACGTGACGTCGAACGGGTAATCCCTGAACTCCCTCCGGAACATCCCCGTCGCACCCGGGAACTGTTCAGTTGGCGTGGAGTGCAGGCGTCGCCGGGCCTCCGTGGCATGATTGTCGTCCGTGGCGTTGGCCCGTGGCGCCCTTTACATTGCTGGTTCTGTTCTCGGCGGCGGCTTTCCAGGCGAGCGATGTGCTCTTCTTTAGCGTGGGAATCTGAAGCGCTGGACGCAGTGGAAGTCGAGGCGACAGCAGCTTTGCAGCGGTTACGCACCCATTTGCGATGCTGCGTACGTCGACGCTCCTTCCACAGCCAGTCTTCTTTCCCCGAAAGGGCGCGCAGCCGACCCATCCTAAGTCCAAACCGAAACTGGTAAGAGCGTAGGAAACAGCGCGCAAAACAGGCGAGAACGAAGAAACACGTGACGAGCGCTGCGCACGTTACGTGTGCTTCTTTGTTGTCGTCTGGTTTTCGCGCTGTTTCCTACGATGAATCCTAGGATGGGTCTCATGGCTGCCGCTCGCAGCTGCAGGTCGGGGAATATTCTAATTTTTGCCTCGCAATTACACAGCGGAATTGTAACATTTCAAAGGAAGGAGGTGTGTTTTCTGTCCTTTGTGACAAGGTGAACAATGTCAAAAGTAGAAGATGCCAATTGTTTCAACATTAAAATCGTTGCACAGCTCCTTTAGAGCCCCCCTAAAAAAAAATGTTTTTTTTTTTTTAGGTTTGATTGGGACATGCGTGTCAAAAAAACAATTTTATGCGAAAAAAAAAAAAAAAAAAAAAATTTAGTGCAATATTGACAGCACGAGATTAGTTGGTAGTCACCTCCTTTCCACTTGTTTTCTCCCTCAGCATTTCGGGCACGTGGAAAGAGCAAATTACCATCTTGTTGAGCGAATGACCATTCTGCGACGTCACAGACTTTACGCGCAGATTTTTATATAAATCTCTCGCAGTCAGTATACGCCACGCAAGTGGGCTCATTTTCGTCTTCTGCGCATGAGAAAGGAAGTAGCGGTCACGTCAGAACGCCGAACCCTGATTGGCTGATCGCGCCCCCCTATCTGAGCGTCGTCTGCTCCTTTGCAACGTCGTCTGCTCGCAACGTCGTCTGCGTCTGTCTCACCTTTCCTGCGACTTTCAGAAGTGCAGGTCTTTACATGCGAGCTCGACTTCGCCTTTCACAGAGGGCAGACGAAATAACTCGAGCGGTACGTTGTTTTTGTCTAACAACTAGCAGACGCGCATCAAGGAGGGAATTCAAAGGACTCACTGGCGAGGTGTCCCGAGGCGCCGAGGTTTGTTTACTAAGAACCGGGAGGTGAGCGTGCAAGTTCCCTCCCAAATACTTTGTCCCTCCTTTCGTGTGCGGCGGGACCCCCCATTCTTTAACAGCGTCGGCGGGTTGGCGCAGTTGACGTCGTCTGCTCTACGTCTGCTAGTCAAAGCGATGGTTGCTTTGCCTTTCCTGCGTCTGTCGGAGATTCACCGCTTTTTCACCAGCGAGAGTCACCGTGGCCTCGGGAAACAAGGAGATAACAAGAGGAAGCAATTGACCTCTTAATCCAAAAGTGAGGTCAGCGATCAAAGTATAATACGGGAAGGGTTCACAAGGGTCGCGCGGGCATATTCCATTCCGCACGCCAGCCGGTCCTGGGCAGACGGTCGCCGAGTCCGGGAGTGCCTGCTAGGCCTAACTGCCGTGCTCGCTTGGTCGCGTTCGGTGGAATCATGGCCGTTGGAGCTTTTCCCGGGTGTTTGTGGATCGAGCGTTCTTGTTCGTCGTGGTCTGTTTCAAGTACTTTTTTCTTGCTGCTTGAAGTCGGGACGCGTGAGAAGCGCAGGTAGAAAAATAAACGTCCGTGGGTCGTCACGACCGCGACGCTGTCGGCCATGCTGATTTGATCGTAAGAAGTGCCTACGACAGCTTCAAAGCTGTCGTAGGATTTCGTCGTAACCTGCGCAAAACTTGCGAAAATTTCGTTTCGTGAATACAAATTCGTTTAAAGTTATGGCTTAAGCATATTTTTGGCGTAAGATTGTTTCCTGCGACTTCCGAAAGTCGCAGGAAAGGTCAGACAGACGCAGACGAGGTTGCGAGCAGACGACGTTGCCAAGGAGCAGACGACGCTCAGATCGGGGGTCGCGATCAGCCAATCAGGGCTCGGCGTTCTGACGTCACCGCTACCTCTGCGCAAGAAGCAGATGAACTTGCCCTCCGCATTGCTTCACCCAAGATTTATTTCTGGACATGCATGTCCCAATCACTGTCTAAAAATGTTTTTTTCTTCTTTTCAGAGCCCTTTAAGAGGGGTTTCAGTCTAAACTTTGACATCAAGAAACAGGAATAGCTATAATTGCATGCATAGTATATAAATGAAGAAGACCCTTCTACAACATTCTCTGCACTAAATGCATTGATCAGACAGGGGTCTTAGTCTGCTGAATCTTAATAGTCCTAGATCTGAACGCAAATTACTTTAAAAAAAAGTACAATGAAATGGTGCTTTTTGGATCTCTGGAGTCTTTTTAAAGGGCATGCGAAATTAATTTTTCACTTTGGCTAACTCATGATCAGAATAAAATCCTTCAAGATTGTCACACCTAAACTTTTATATTACACATGCAAATTTAAAAAAAAAAAAAAAAAAAAATCTTTCTTGAGGTTTTTTTAATTTTTTTTTTTTTTGTGTGTCAACTATTAACTCTTCTTTCTGGCCTGGCTCTGGCCCTTTAAAAGAAACAAAAAAACATACAAGGATATGTCTCTTGGCTACAGTTAAGCCACAGCTTTCCGGAAATGAAACGCAAAAAAAAAAAAAAAAAAAAAAATAAACTCGGATTTGAACAAAGAAAAAGAAAAGAAAAAAAGGCTCGAGGTACACCTAAGCACTTCTTACGAGTTGTGAATGCGAAAGCATGCTTGTTGTCCTTCCGCATCGGCCGTATTTGCGTCGGCCGATCGTGCGCTCTCCCAGCTCTCCTTGCTGCTCCGACCTTGGACGCTTTTTGTGTTACCAGCGTGCTCGCAGTGCGGACACGAACTGCCATGGGATGGGCGTCGTTGAAACAAGGCTCCCATTGGACGTGCAGCGGCCAATGGGACCCTTGCGACCGATGCACGCCAGCCAATGGGACCGAAGCCGAAAACCATCAGCTTTAAGGCCCGTTCACACTCTTGCGACCGAGTACGACTGAGAAAGACGAGATCTCTTACAACTTCTTAAATGTTTTTAGAATGAGGGAACACACTGACATTGTGGCGCCATCTATGCGGTGACCCTGGAACTGCATTTCACAAGAGCGAAGGTTTTGCGGGATTTTCGAGGTCAAATGTGCGTAATACCCATAGAAAGGCTCGTTTATAACATTGTCAAAAGTTTTTCGAGCCAAGAAAGAAAGGATAATGCTCGAGAAATAAAAAAAAATATGCCGGACCGCCGAGTTTACACTGCTTCCCAATAGATGACGCCAGTGTGTTTTCTGGTTTAACAAGTTTTAAGGAACCCAGGTTTAAGAGGTCGCAAGCAGTCGCAAGAGTGTGAACGGGCCTTTACTCTGCTCCTTTAGGATTGGGGAAACTAGGTGCCGTTTTCTAGGCTTTTCACGTGGTTTCATAGCTGGGAGCTGGCTTCACTTGGAGAAAGGATTTAAGGTGCCATTTGGCGCTGCTTCAAAACTGATGACGTCGGCTCGCTCGATGGGACAATTAATGCTTTTGCATTAAAAGAGAAAGCAACAGAAACGTGCCGAAGCCAACAGCGGCATTTCTGCTTGCCAAGGCGTTACGAAGGAGACTTGTTGTCGTTCTGAGGAGACGACTGGACATGGGAGTGACAGGTCGTCTCGGTGCCTGTCGCCAGTGTCGCAGCACTTTCAAGGTGCGTCCCAATTTGTTGCAGGCGCGCAGACCCTGCGGCTGTCGGTCGAGTGGCTCGAGCCTGATTGGAGGAGCCGGCTGGGAGGGGACGGCTCTGCTACACCATGGCTCCCACCTGCGGCTGGGCTGCCTGCAGTTTGTGTTTAGCGTCACCCAAGAGGAGCCCTGGCCCTGACGGTCGTCCCCACTGCTGTACATATGGGCCCCCCTGTACATACTCACGGCCTGGGGGCGTTTTAACAAGACTCGAAAACAGATACCCACGACTCCGTCTCTTTCTCGGCATGGGGGAGGTGCTCTCGTCCTGGCGCGCTTCTCTGGATCCTGATTGGTAATAACAGAGCTACATAGGCTATTTTGTAGTACCGTGCCCTCTGCTTGATTCGGTGGTTGGGAACGTTGTTCTAAACAAATTCGGACGGTTACTGGCACGAAAGCGACAGCTGCCCGAGAAATTGCCGCGCTACCTATTTGCACAGATTGACAAATCTATAGAGAGAGGTAAAAACAATTTATTCACCTTGTACCAATTGCATCCTGCTTGGCAGTCGTTGTGCGACACAAACGTCAGGATGCTCGACATGCAACAATTCGGCCTGCTTCCTTGGGCGGCTTTCTAATAAATATATGTACAGGCAGAACAAAGGCGCCACAGCGCACAACGGTAGTGTACACAGTTATGTTCTTTGTAAAGCAAACTTCCGTCTCTGCTACGTTTTTTGCGTTTGCATCCTGCAGTATTGCAGGGCATAAATGCTTTGTAGGAACCAATGTTCAAACAAGCTATATTTAGTATTGCAGGGCATAAATGCTTTGTAGGAACCAATGTTCAAACAAGCTATATTTAGTATACTGGTGTGTACTAAAATGAGGGGTATCGTAAACACTGCCGGTGTGCTGAGGTGCTTGGTGTGCCCAGGTTTCACACAAATGACACCGATTGAGCATCTGCTCGGGACGACATCATGGAAATCTGTGCACGGCGATGCACAAGGGGACTCCTAGCACCGCTTTATTCTCGTTTCCGACACCCGACAAGCATGTGCCAGATAACCGTTGCTTTAAACGGTCTTTTTATGCCCGTTTATCGGGAAGCCCAATGCTATAAAATGCACAGTCACAACAATGAAGTAATGCATGTTTACAAATCAACAGCTTTTTTTTTTTTTTTTCTTTTTTTACATGCACAACTTTGCAGCTTCTTGCTTGAATCATTTGGGTCGCAACACTCGCCCAATTCTAATAATACTATGTGCCTTGCATTTGACATGCATGCGACATACTTTCCCATATTGTACTGAAATTCGGAGGGATCGATGAAGTAATATTGTACTGGAATTGTCTTTTCCTTACCAATGAAAGGAAGTTTTAATGGTGTAAAAAGCATAGAACTGAAGTGTGCTAATATCTGGTGCAAATCCTCCTGTGCTAAGTATTGTATATGCAAAGTACCCATGGGGTGAAAGAAACCGTGGCCGAGTTTCGTTGCGATGCTGGCACCGTCTTCCGCAAACAATAGTCTCTAAATATCATAAAATAGCGGCGACTTGCCTGCTAAAACTTGGCATGAATATATATCACAAAAAGTGCCCAGAGCACCTGCCCTGGGTGAAGGTGGAACATGAGTGGACACAAGGAAATGGAACCTGTGTAGAGTCGGAGATTTCCTCTAGTTCCGTCGTCTCCTTTGGACGTGTAATACGTTTTGTTCAAACTTGCTGCACTCTAAGATAATGCATGGCACAATTCTCACAATAGTGGGTAGCAATTTGAAGAGAAAAGTGGCCTAAAAATCTACCTTCTCAAATTCATTCCTTAACAATGTAAAAACACATTTCAACATCTAGTTAAAGCTTCACTTGTTGCTGAACATTTCTCAGTTACGTCGTGACACGTCGAAATATTCAACAATCGGTGCATGCCATCCTTTTACTCCATCTATTTAGTGTGATCATTGGGTGGAATCATTCTAAGCAGTATTAAAGGACCACTTGTATAAACAAATAAGAAAAAGACAGTGGCCTTTCTTTTAGGGCTGGGTTAAGGTGCTTCTGACAAGATATTTTTTTGTGGTAGACAATTTGTACGAAAGATGCCCACAAGTCTCCAGCCACTTGGAAACAAACTAATAAACATTATTAATAAAAGTAATCAAATTCACAAACCATATTTTATGATAATGCAATTGAATTCTGCAAAGGTGCAAGCGAGCTGGACAAGAATGATGAAAATAATCCCTGAAGAAGGGGAACAAGGGGGACAAAGGATGAACACAAATCTCCAAGCACAGCTAGGGACTGGTGCACGACCGAAGAAAAAAAAAACGCCTGGTCCTGGTTTGCTCTACTGACGTCTAACTCCTGGTTAGCTCAGTCGGTAAAGCGCTCCTCTGGAAATGGAGAGGTCCCAGGTTCAATACCTGGACCGGGCAGATTTTTTCGGTCGCGCACTAGTCAGCTAGTTGTGTTTGTGGAGATTTGTATGTCCTTCGTTCCCCTTCTCCAAAGATTATTTTCGTCACATTTCATGACTGCCAGCCTACCAAACATATTTTGCCTTGGGGGGGAAAAAAAACAGCTGAAGTATATATAGTTGTGGGGAGGTGAAACAACACGTGGATTTCCGGGGTCCTTTATCTACCTCCACACTGGTCCTGTCTGTGGTTGTGACATTAATGGGGCTACAGTGAAAAATCAACTGAGGGGTGTCACGACATCATATTTTAGCGCTTTGCACACAATCGATGAACAATTCTTTTGAGGTGTTGAGGTCTTTTAAGCACTAGTACTGATTGCAGTATTTCCACAGGTAAAAGAATATTGCAAGTTTCTTTCTCGTGGGCTCACAAAAAATTGAACCGACAAGACTCCCCGATAAACCGGGACAATCCCCAGACATTGGCTCTGTAGCAAAACATGCACGCAGTGCTGGAAGTGCGCTGTGCCACCTTTGCTTGTCGAAGACGCACTCAGATAGCGGAAGAAATGTGACGCTACAGCTAACGGTACTCAAAACATTGAGCCCGAGGACGCAGAGTGAGCAAGGGATGTCACTGCACTCACGTCTACAGACGACGGCAATGGACGAAAAATGAGATTCTTACCACCACCTGTTCCCAAGTGCCATTCCTTCGTCAAACAAATCGCAAACTGCACCCGTACAAACAGATGGAGCAAAGAGAGCAAGTCTTTGTAAAAGTTTTGCTTGCGAGACGGCAGACTTGCTACCTATATTTGGGTCACGGTTTTCAAGACGAACGATTTCGACCAAGCCTAAATTTTGTCCCGTTAAGCAGGTAGCAATGTGAGCATCGAATATGATGAACATTGTGGATGATAAAGTATGGAGGTAGTCAAAGCTGGTAGAAAGAACTTGAAAAAGAACCTCTTGGGAGCCACAGAAGGGCAGTCAGTATTTTGCCGAGACATCATTGGGACGTGCATTTGCGTAATCGCTATTCTATGGTGCAGTCGTACTGCACTGGCTAAATTCTTCATCTGCAGTGCGACTCGCTGCTGCCATACCTCAAAGGAAGACGGGCCTTCCACTGGCTAAACAACTAACTTGCTTTGCTTTTGCTTACTTCATTAGGGCTCTGAAGAAGCCAAGTCTTGCAGCAAAACACTGGCTCTCGCTCTGAGGTTTTCAGCATGTTCCTTTCTCAACTCTATATGGTCAACATTGTAGATGAGCTTGCTTTTCTATGTTGTTATGGTAGTTCATTGGACCAAATCAGCTCTTTGTTTTGGACTTGTACTGGAAGCTTTGGCTTGAGCATCGCATATGCAAATGCGGTATATAAACCGTGCCACCGGCAAAAAATCTCTTGTCGATGACACCATCATGTAAAGTTACACAGCCCAATAATTCATGCACATGGCATGCATTAGGTATGTATGGGGTGAGGCACAGGTTGGTGCATGTGTAACAGTGCAGCTGCCCATGAAGAGTTCAGTGTAGCATTTTGGGAAGCACGGATGCCACTTACATTGAAAGACTTTTGCTGCACGTTACACTATACTTAACACCAACTAAATTTTTTTTTTTATGAAGGAATAGCGTTTGGAACAGGCGGCATATGTAGTGGCACAGGCAAAAACAGTGCTCAGAAATGGCAAGCAATCTCGATTGGAGTAAAGTGGAAGTGGTTCTATTTTGGCTATCGGGAAAGTGGCATGGCCCTCATATTAAAGGGGCAATGCACAGCAAAAGTCTGCTTTCTCTCACTTACTGGACTCGAAAAAGCAAATGACAATGGGAAGGGTAGCATATCAATGACGCTAAAAGTTCATAAAAAAAATCATCCGTTGTTCATGCCCAGAGAAAGAAAAACTGGCACCTTTCTCTTCTGCGACGCTCCAAGATCATTCACGACAATGCTATTCTGGCTGTTACACGAATGCAAATCGTCTCTTCTAGAAGTGAGAAAAGTCCGGCAACACTTCGTAAAGGATCATCTTTAAAAGTCTCGACTGCTCCTTGCCAGTGCTACTAAAAGTGATGTGCCGTCAGGGTGACACGATAAACAATGTGCGACTATTTCAAACCATTTCCCACCGTTTGAAACAGAAGTTTTATACGGCGGAAGGGAATCATTTAGAACTTTGAAATTTTGAAAATTGTGCGTTGCCCCTCACGGACATAAACACTGGATTGTTTTCGACGTTTGAGGGCCTTAAACGATGACGACATACACTTCCAATATGCGAGGTAGACGATTGAACGTGCTACCGCCTTCACACGTTCCAACGACTATAGGGGGTGCCATTGCTCAACCAAGCGTCCCTTTCGTCTGCCATCTTTGGAAGCGGAAATGGAGGCAATCACTCCATTGCCACTGTCCCGAGTGGGCACCTATTTTCATTCAATTTGGGTCACGATAATGGGCATGACAATGTTGCAGGTAAAAGTATGCGCCTTCAGTTTGCCGCGCAGTAAAACAGCGTCCCGCGCATTTTCATGCATTTGTATGTCTTTCCCTTTCCTCTGTGTAACTTCTTGCTTATGGGAAATGAGTGCAATGATTCATTTAAATTGTCTGGGGGACGCCACCCAGCAGATACTTCACTGCAGCCAACTTGCTCGCTCAGCTATAAAAAAAAAAGAGGATGGCAAATCAGTTGTGTTGAGACGACTGCCACAACACCCGGGATTGGCTTGCTCGGAACGCGGAAAACGGCAGCTATACACCACGCCGGAAAGAGTGAATTACTCCTTCAAGCGGGCCCCGGAACTAGGCGCGTGCGACCGAGAACCGATACGCCGCAAAAAGTGTCCGGGGCGCCGTACGGCCGCTGCACGTTTCGAGGTTGGCCATGCGTTCGAACACTGCTGCGGGGCGACGGCCCTTCAAGGCTCGGAGTCTGGCCGGCGCCCCGGGGGGGGCCTCGGGGGGCAGCCCCAGCAGTTGCTGCTCCCACGGAGACTCTCCAGCAGCCGCTGCAGTGCAGGACACGATGACACAGCCTCTGGCTCCGTCTCCAGCGTCTGCGCACACCATCGTCGGGTCCCTCAACGTGAAACGGATACGTACGTTCGCGCAAGCGGAACCCCTGGCGCAGGGGTTCTCAAATATTCTTATCTTGAGGTTTGACGAACCCCTATGTGCCTCGACTGTCAACCGAGGAACATTTCCTGGTCCCGGCACCGACGCGAAGAATCGGTGCAGCGGCTTGCGGACTTTGCTAAACGGCCGTGAAGATGCTACGGAGTGTTTTGCTCAAAGTTATACTAGAGTTGAAGATGGAAACACTTTGCTTCGGAGCGAGCATGCCGGAGGAAACCTGAGAGCTCGAGGAACCCGTCAGTGAACCCTAAAGAACCACTACGTTCCTAGGAGCCCGGTTTGAGAACTGGCGTTAAGGCTGGCGTGACTGGTTACGGGTTTGGAAACAAAATAGTACTCCCAAAGTTAAAATAAAATTTTGCCGACCGTAACTCCGTTACATTTTTGGAGTGATGTTCCGATGACAAGGTTACAGTTGGCAGGTTCGAATCCTGGCCAAGGTGTCCGCAATCTGACTGAGGTTTATTGCAGAAAAGCATCCATGGGGGGGGGGGGGGGGGGGGGGTAATTAAGAGTTTGACTGCACGTCAAAAGATCCCCGAGTAATCTACGTTACTCCTGTCTTTCGCTGGGACATGCCAGACGCACCCCCTCCCCGCCGTTGGTTAGGCACGTGAAACCCCCAAATTTGACCGTGTCCTTCCCCCCGTCGCCCCACTTACCTCTATGACCCTCTCGAGCATAGTGTCGAGCTTGTCGATGTCCTCGGTGGCCCTCTGGTAGTTGTCCTCGTAGGCCTGCTTGAAGCGGGAGAACTTGCTGGCCAGACCTCGGAGCTGCTCTTCTCTCAGCACCAGGCCCTCCCTCAGGCTTTCCACCTGGACAAGCGCAATGTATCGAGAGAAAAAAATCAGTTTTATTTTTTTTCTTAAAAAGTCCACTCTCTACACGATTGTTGCTGTGCACTACAGTTGGTTACAGGTTAAGAAGGTAGCGCCAAATGCCCCCCAAAGGGACTCGTAAATCCCTCCGCCACCTCCGCATCCAATAGCATCCCATCGTTTCCGTGACGTCGCGGCCAACGCGCGAGGAGGGTCTTGCCATTCTGTAGCATATTTGCTTTATCTTTCGACTTTGACTTAGCATTGTGGAAGCCACGAGAGGGAGATTAGAGTTTCCCCCCTCCGATAGAAACAAATATGACTTTCGGGGATTACCTTCCCCCTCCGATATATACAAAGGCTGCTTTCAGGGCTCGGTTCCCCCTCCGATGAATACAAAGGTCGCTTTCTTAAAAAAGTGGGATCGGAGATAAGTTGGCATCACTCTGTAGCCAATATCTATCCATTGAAGCGGAACAAGGGGCGTTTCCAGTGAACTCTTCTTTCGACTGCGGAGGGATTTGTAACGGGCGCATCACGCTTGTGGGAGGAGCTTCTCCTACCTTCTTGACTTGTAACCGACTATAGACAGCCTGGCTGCAACCGCCTTCTCACTTTCGCTCCGGATCAGGCATGACCTTGAGCTAAGCTTGAAAAGAATACAGGTTTCCACAACACCCCATTCGTCTTTCCCTCTCTTTCTTCTGAACATGCTTCTGTTGAGCACAGTGGCTCGGTGCCGCCTCTTCCTCTAGTTTCATTTCAAGTCGAGTTCCTAGCTCATAACTGTACAGCGCAAGCGGCGTGTTTGCGATGCGCGTGTCGGGCTCTATTGCTCTGCACCGGCGTGAGCGTCAAATTTCGCTGCTTCGCACTGGCATGTTAGGAAAAGCAAACTAGATTTTACTTTTACCATCCATTGCTCCCACTGAAAGTTCCAGTTCATTCTTGGCAGCTGTTGTCTGTTCTGGCTTTGAGCTCCTCGAATATGGAGTGCAAATAAAAGAAGCCTCAGCACAAAGCTTTGGGGGAGTCTTAAAGGGGCGGTGCAACGATTTTATGATTAAAAGAATTTGCATCTCGTCATTTTTACGTTGTTTATTGTGTCCCGGAGGATAGAGAAAACACCCCCTTCATTGAAAATGTTGCGATTCCGCTGCATAATCGCAAAGCGAAAGTCGAGCTTTTTCCCCCACCTGCAGCCCCAAGTGGCAGCCGAAGGAACTACGGCGAAAAGATTACGTGACCTCGCTCGGCTCTAAGCTGCAGCATAGCGCCAGCTAATGTACGCAGAGAGAAGGAGGGGAAGCGTCCTCCGAGATAGCACACGGGAAGCTACACGGCACTCCGAATGACGTCACTGGGAGTGCGACCAGTTGTAACCCTGAAGGCTGGGAGTGAGTTGAGGGGTGCCCGAAATGCCAATCTTTATCTTTTTTTTACGCAACAACTAGGACACGCAGGCGAAATCGGTTTTCTGTTCGTTACTTCAGAAGTGTCAGGGGGCAACTTCCAGAAATCTTTGACCGAGGTCCGAAAATCGTTGCACCACCCCTTTAAGGCCCATTCACACAGGACCATTAGCTCATGTTTTCTTAAGTTACCTTGTGAATAGGGTTCCATGTTAGTTGTATGAATAGGAAAAAATCTAAAAAGCACTCGCCAGTAGATTTTCTGTCAATTCGAATTTATCCGATAAACTCAAAATTTTGAGGTCACAATGATGAAATAAAAAGCAAAAAAGATGGTGTTCTATGATTAAACTTTATCAGAGCACAAGGTCAGTAGATGCCACTTAAGTTTCCTTTAAAATCTAGTTCTGACAAAAGGGGGTTGCCTTTTAGCACATCGAGGTTCCTTGAGAAAATGGCTCATGGTACCCAGACCTTATTCATTTTGTTTTTATATCTGGGTGATTTCAGATAAGATCGACCAAAGGGTGGCTGGTCGACATTTTTAAATCAACTGATGTTTTTATATGACATTGTCTAGTGTCTGGTATAAACAAATCCACACTTAGTTTTGACCAGAAAAAAAATTTGGAGACAAGAAAAATCGTAAGGCAGGGAGAGGTGGACAGTTGCAATAACGCGCACTGATGGAGGGGGCAAGTTTGAAAGTGAATAATTAAAACAATAAAATTAGGAGAATTTTAAAACTTTTTACAAACAAACTATGGGTACAACTTGCTTGTAATATAAAGTAATAATATTTATTAAAAATTTATTTAGTTTTCTAAAAATTGCCAAACATGCCTGCTCGAACGACAAATGGCAAACTTTGGAAATCTGTATCTCATGAAATAATTTAATCATTATTACATAACTTGCAGACATTATTTTACTAATATATGGCTATTATTGAAAAAATAAACAAGGTATCTGAGTGAGACAATAGTCACAATATATTTAGGCAAACATGGAAAAAAAATCAAACAAAGAAAAATTCCAATGCGAATAAAAAAAAAACACCACCTTCGATTTTTTTTAAATTTGGGTACCCTGTTATACTCTATTTCGGCATTCATTTCTATCAAAAACATGTTGCATCATTGCACTGTGAAAGAAGAAACAACTCCCCAAAGTAGGGTCCTTTTTCAAAGCCTACACTTAGCAGTGTCCTATACAAGAAGTGACTCTGAGTTCCAGTTTCATGAAACTTGCACAAATCTTTTATATACATTTATTCAGATGAGGTCATTGATAAAAAGAGCGATCGGTCACACAGTAAAAGGGAGGAGAAACTATATACAGCATTTTACATAAGCGTACAAAGTGGTATCATATTAGAGACTAATGATTTGAGAAAAGATGATGCAGTGTGAAGTTGTACCTTCCGGTATATTTTACATCTAGAGTAAAATAAATAACTTTACTTCCACACACAAAAACAAAGATATAATAGTAAGATATTTAGGTTGGCTGTGTATTTACGATTACAAACAATTTCAGGTGACGGATGCCATAGTGCCTAACTGGAGCAGCTTCGATGCTCTCGGTGTATGAATGAATCGTGGCAAGCCGATATATTTTATCCTGCTCGAGGATAACATTTTGGGATTTTTTTTATAGTGATCAGATAAAAATTATTAGTAACCACCAACAAAAACAGTAGGTTAAATACCCCGTGAAGAAAAATGTGATAAATAAGATGTCCCTGCATTCAAAATGAGCAGTCCTTGGGAAATCAAATTCGGCACTTTACGCTAAGGTTTTCCTCGCTGTACCCATTTAATAAAGTTGCTTCCAAGCAGATCCGACTGTCCGTGCTACATATACGTCACAGGTCCCTTCTGTTGATGACTTGCTGAGCCGCCACGCGTGTCAAGACTGAATGCCAGGGAAGGCGCGCACCGTCAGCCACTCTTCTTTTTTTTGTTCACGATACCGAACAACCTCATTTTCGTCCAGATATACAAAATGCACGCCTTTCAGTTTCTTTGATAGAACGCTCACCATTGTCCTGGCCGTCTGAATTGCGCTTACTGAACGTTCTCTCAGGTTGTTCAGCGTGGCCTGGTGCTTCACGAGTCCGCCAACTCCGTCACGTGCATTTTTCCCATGTCCAGATGCAGAAAATAACCACTGGGCTTGTGGGCAATCGTCCTTTGCAAATTGGTGAAGCTGGTAGCGATTCTTAAAATGACTGGCGGCGCCGTCACTTACGTACGTCACGTACGAGTATACCGCAACGTTGTCTTCAACCCACTCCTTCACTTTTTCTAGAGCCAAGCAAGCGTGAGCGGCGTCGTGACACAGGTCCTCACTGATGATGGCAAAGCTGTTTGTAGATTTTCTTGTCGTCACTACACATGTAAATATCGAAACTTGTTTTTTTTTTCAGTGATATGCTTGCACTTCCTCAGGAAGCACGATGGTCCAGTTTTCAGCAAAGTCAAAATGAAAGACAATGCTCCCGCGTTGCATGCACTGTTTTGCATCGTAGATCGCTTTACCTTGCGTTTGCCGGATATGGTTGTGAAGTACCCAACTTCCAACCGTCACTTGGATGACTTTTAGGAAAGTCTCAGGTTCCAAAGTTTTTTTCACAAGGTCGCCGGACTCCCATGTTGCAAGCACAATCTCTTCATCCTCCGGGATATCAAGTTCCTGGAGTGTAAGAAACTGGCCTTTTGGGCAGTGATCACAGTCTCCTTGAAGGCACAGTTCTGTTGCTGGGTCGCACAGAAATGCCGAGTTCATTTCACCAGTGTTGAATGTTGAGCCTGTAACGTTCTCTAGAGCGGCAATACAAAAATAATAATTGGCGCAGCGCACACAAACGCACACTTCCTGGTGTGGAATACATTGGACCCATCTAGGGCGCAACGAATAAAATTTCGTTAGCCCAACGCCGGAATCGGGATGCTTGTCTTTGTATATACGGAAGGCCTCTCGTATTGAGCGTGTCATGAAGCGCTTTGGCACGAACGTTTTCTCTCCGTTGAGCATGACAGAGATGACGTCCTTCTGGTTGGGACTTTGGCGCGAACATTGTAGCTCGTCTTTCGTGAAGTACTCTAGGGCAGCAGACAGGTTCTCAGGGCTCACCTTGCACCTCGTGTAAGGATCCGGCTCATACCACACGCCATGCTTTTCCTTGAGTTTTCGGGATTTACTGATGAGGTACATTGAGGCCTGTGGAATCATCTTTTGAACCTCATTCTTCGTCAGTGTTGACGGCAGGAGTGTAAGCAGTTGACAACGTTCCCGGAGAGAGGTGGCGGTTTCAAAGGCCTGCCGAAAGTTGTCCACCCACTCAGTGCATGTGGAGCATGTTGGTTCGGACGACCCCAATGGTGCGTCCCTGTCGTACGCAATACGTAGCCTTGAGCGTATATTCTTGACAGCAACCTGCTCCAGTTCTGTCTGCTTTCTCTTGACATAGGCAGGCCTGTCCCGACTTCTTACGACGCTTGGTTGTCTCAGCGGCGACACATCTGTAGGTAGTATGCTGCGATTTAGATCTTCAATTGCTTCTTCAGCTGGCACAAATAT